AGTCACTGGAATGTGCCGGATAATCGTCATTTTCAATCGGAAAATCCTATCGGCTATACGCACTTCGGGTATCCGTCACAAGCAAGTCATCCCGGACAAGCTAGTTCTGCTCCTCGTCAGGCTCTTCTTCAGACTGCTGCAACTCAGACTCAGGCATCATCACGTACAGCTGCGCAGTTAGTGCACAATCCTGAAACATATCCGCTTTCATTTCAGGAATATGTGGCCAGGCATCTCCCGAGAACTCATATCCTGCAGGCTACTCAGGATAGTTCAGAAAGTGAAGAAGACGGTGGTCATCCAGAAAATCCTATTGCGCAACAACTTACTGAACAAGCCCAGCGAATTCATAGTTCAAATCCTGTCTTTCCTGCACCATCGAGTAGTTTAATCAGGGAAATGTTGCAAAGGTCACTGGAAGCTCAGTTAGTACTGCCATATCTGCACAGACAGTTGCCTGATTCAGTACATGCAGCACAGAGAAAACCCGAAGAAACAGACGAAGAAACTTCCGACAGTGATGATAATCAACAAGTTCGCCTGGACCATCTGCCTGGGACCTTCGATTCCGCTCAGAAGAAACACAGTTACCCCAGATACAGTTTCGCAGGTGTTGCCATTATTCCTGGATACCATGCCAGCACTGGTTATGACGCTCGCCATGATAACAAGAATTCTGGTGATAGCAGGGACAATAGGGATGACACCAGAGCTTATGTAAGTTTTAATAAAATAAAGCAAATAAAATATTTTAATGTTGAAAAAAAGAAATTAATAAAATGTTGAAAATCATTCGTAATGGTAAAAATCATTCTTAATGGCATTTAATAACGATTGCTGGTATTTATGCGTATTTTTGTAACGATTGCTGATATTTATGCAAAACTTCGTTAGCCTCTGGCTGCAGGTTGCGTCGCAATATTTCTTGTCCGAGACAGGGCTGTCAACTTCTTCCAAGTCAATTTCGTCTATCTGTCATACTAGTGCTTTGTGTTACCTGTTGTTTGATACATCGATGTTAACGCTTACTTCCTTACTTAGTATACCCTGCACATCTCATTTATTTCACGAGATTACATGCAGTGAGAACTGCTGCATAACGCTATTTCCCAAAAGAACAGAGCATCCGAAAAATAAACCGTGCGATTGTTTAAGCAGTCTAAATCGCTTTTGTTTTGCCTTACATCGTTCTTTCCAGAATGTTTCTTTATCGAGATCGAATTCGCAGTACAGCGACCAGTGGATTAAACAGCAAGCTACAGCGTTGTGCAGGACGCTAGCAACACAACTTATGGGGGTTAGTTAAGCTGCCAATTTAGTCTTACTATTAAAAACGTACAGTAGTTTGCTAAACATGCCGCTCCAGTTGGCACAACTGCGCTCGATGTGTGGGAGCATCTCAGTAGCACCACAGACATAACTGGGCGGTGTTGGATGTTAAATGCAGTAAACAGTTTTAGCGAGTTTTTTATTCTTTTCTGGGAAATAATCAAAGGTTTTTCACTTCCTGTTATTGCGTTTTTATTATTATGCTTCTTGCTGCATTGGGCTTCTGATGCTACCCCTGTATCTGCTAATTTTATTAATTGTTCAAGCATTTTTAAATAAGCTACGAAAAAATTATCAACTTGATGGCTCGAAAACCACTGTAATTTGAAGGCCACTGTAATGAAAATCACTGTAATTTGCAGATACCAATTCCAAGAGTAAAGTCATTACGGCCTAACACGGATATGCAGGAAGTACAGTCAAGCCGCAGGAATCCTTCGCATCAAACTCCCGATCCATTAACTTTTGCAGCAAAACCCCCACATGTGTGATTTAAGTCAGCAAATCTCAAAAATCAAAGAACAGTGATCAGTTCTGGGGCTGAACTGCTCTTCTAACAATTAGTGCTTTTGCATAAATTAAAAGAC